CAGATTTGTAGCAGGAGAGGCATCAGCCCCAATAGGCAGCTGGTAACCATTGCAGATCTTCTTGTATAGGCTCCATGTAATCCTTTTAACTTGGTAAGTGTAGAGAGTAAAGAAGATGACCTGGACAGAAATATGCAGGAGCCATTGGCTAAGCAAAATGGGCTGAAACATTTAAGCCCAGAACAAGATAACATTCAGAAGCAGCTCAATGTGTGTCAGCCCTCCCAGATAAACCAGACAGGAAATATGACTATATGAGCTAATTCTACTTTATTGTAAGGCTACATTAACAGAATCTTGCAAGTCTGAAAGTACAAATCTTCTGCCCTCCCTATTTACTGCCTGAGTAGTTAGAGCAGGTCCTTTCTAAGTTTCTTTCTCTGGCTGTTACTCTATTGCAGACTCCTTTCTCTTTTATCTGATCGTTCCCTAGGCAGCATCTCTTCCTCGCCTTCCAAGTACATCCTCACATTCCATCATAGGCTGACACCTAATTCACTGAACTATAAGGAGGAGGAGGAGGAGGAGGAGGTACATCACACTCAAACTTGCAAAATTCTTAATAAAAATAATTCTAGCCTTCCTGTGGAGTTGATTTCCTGGTCTGGTCTACTCTACCTAGTGGGGCTGACAGTAGATTTGAGGTAGTTACAATTTTGCTGCACCTACAGAATTTCAAGCAATGTTAAGCTAACTGGCTCACAAAACACACTAAAGCATTGTAAGAATTAAACACAAGTTGTGTGATTTGTGTGGGTGACCTGAAATGGATTCACAGGTTGAGATTGCAGTTAAATCGTATGTAACATGCCAGTGGATCATGGCGCTGTAAGACAGAATTGTAACCGTACCATCCTTATACTAATAAAATGGCCGGCTTGAGAAAGGTGGTTACAGTACTGTATTGATATTGTGTGGCTATTTGATTTCTGCTGATTGTTACTGTGCAGTTACTTCAACAGACTATTATAATAAATGGCCAGAAGTGTGTTTCACTGTAGCTGCAAATTCTGCAGCAGTTATTACATTTCTTTCATTAGTTCTTAGTGGGAAAGGGAATTATAGGGGGTTGATCTCAGATAAATGTTCCAATTTATATCCTTATAATTTCATATCTTTTTATTAGAGAGGAATATTTGCTATAGATGCTCATCACTTTATTACTGACCAACAAATGGAGCAATAAAATATTTTAATAGGACTCTGAAAGACAAATTACAAACTGATGAGTTAGAAGATAAAGGATAGAAAGCTTTTATTACAGATTTCTTACTGGTTTATTTGAGTTACACGGCATGCAACAACATGGAAGTCTCCAGCTTGGATATAAGACAGATTATGTAAGACAAGCTGATGTAAGATAAACAATACAAGAAAACAATTATAGAAACATAGAGATATATATCTGAAATATACTGACTTGCCATCATTGGACTAAGGAACCAGGAGTACAATGTATGGAATGCCTGACATCTGCCTCCTGTTCATTTGCTTCTAATACTGGAAGCCACACTGAGAGTAGCTAGTACAATCTCATTCAGACACTGATGAGGCCTAGCAAACAGTCAGAGCAGATGGTCCCATTGAATTACCTCGTATCACCTATCTCAGTGTTTCTCAACAACTCCCAGAATTCAACTCCCATATTGACACCGGCCAGGTTCACACAACTCGCAAGAAAAAAATTGCGGGTCGTTTGTAGTTTAGCAAGTGGCAAAATCACCCAGTGCATCTGATAAACCTTGAGCTGGGGTTTAGCACGGCCAAGCATGTTCTGTGCGAACAACACCCTTCTTACTGCGGTGCCAAAAGAAAGCGCTCTAGGAGCAAGTCGGGTCTTTGGGGACGCAGAGAACGCCACCTCTCGCAACCGGCCTGCGAGCCCTTCTGTCTCCCGAGAGGCTACGATGGACGCGAACGCCCGCGAGCCTGGCCCCGGCTCCTGCAAATCGTTTTTGCTCTTCTTGTGGGCGTTGTCTATCCTCCTTCGCCCGCCCACCGGCGCGCGCGCTTGCGTTCCTCAGCCAACGAGCGGAGTAGTACAGAAGTCCCGTTCTCGCCTTTCTAGGAATATTGCGTGCTCATTGTCTCCCTGGTAACCCGGAAGAGGAAGCTGTGGTTGTGCTTTTTGACACTTTTGAATCAGTGAAGGGGGAGGGGGAAGCGCAATGGAGGTAAGAAAGAAAACGTAGAAGGACGGTAGGCAACTTCGATCGGGCGTTTAAATTGGCGGTGTAGACGAAAAGAAAAGAACAGTGGCTAGATTACCCCGAGGCCATCGCTTCCTTCCATGCACGCGCGTAGGGGCGGGGCCTCTTTGTTGCTTCCGGAGCGCGCGCGCACCCTCTCACTTCCCCCCCCCCCCCCCCCCCCCCC